TTCTTTGTTTCGTTATGACCGTCTCACATTGTGTCATGTTTTTCTTTGTTTCGTTATGACCGTCTCACATTGTGTCATGTTTTTCTTTGTTTCGTTATGACCGTCTCACATTGTGTCATGTTTTTCTTTGTTTCGTTATGACTGTCTCACATTGTGTCATGTTTTTCTTTGTTTCGTTATGACCGTCTCACATTGTGTCATGTTTTTCTGTTTCGTTATGACTGTCTCACATTGTGTCACATTGTATCACATTGGTGTTTTTCTTTATTTCGTTATGACTGTTTCAGTTAGTGTCATGTTTTTCTTCTTGCTATTTTTAATGAAAGTGAGTGTATTTTTCTTTTTAACACATTATAATTTATGTACTATTAGTCTTTTGGTTATTTCAAAATTTTCAGGTCAGAAGTACTGAAACTTGAAGCATGTTAATTTTACACTTTGTCAAAGTTTTATGATCTGTTTCTAATATATATTGTAAAAAAGAAAAACAAACTTTTGTATGTTAAAGGAATTATTACTTCTTTATCTTACTTTGTAGCTGGTACTGTGACGAAAGTAACCAACTGCATAGCGCATGATGGAGCCAAAGAAGTACAACAGGCGTTGATAGACGATAATGGGTAGGTGAGAACAAATAAAACTGGTCCTTAAAATGTCAGTCATTTATCAGTTTCCTCTGGTAACAAACAATATAAAGTTTAATAATAAACATAATTTTTGATTTTTAGTCATTCTAAAATATTCCAAGCTTTCAGAAATTCACAAATTCTACCCGCTGTTAATTTGATGACTCTTTGATCATCATCGACACCATTTGGTTACCAGAATAGTTTAACAATTATAACTGATCTTTGCGTTTAGTTAACGGAAAATGAATATAAAATTTTGTAGCCTAAGAGCAGCGTTTTGAAATTTCTAAACATAATTCCATGGTCAATTCAATTATATTTTTTATGTTTATAATTGAACGTACAATTAATTTTGTAACCACAATATTACAGGTTGAAAGAAGTACTAAAACTACCTGAATGAATAAGTTAACGCTTTATGTTTTGATATAAAAAAATATTAACATCAAGTATGAAACATGTTACTTTGAATCCACGTTACCGTCGTGATTAATGGCACAAAACAACGAATTCATTTAAACGTAAAATTAAATTTCTAAAATACAGAGATAGTTATAAAACGTGCTCTCTAAGTTTACATTTAAGATTTGATTTGTTCGTTTGTTTGTTATGGATTTTGCGCAAAGCTACACGAGGGCTATCTGCGCTAGCCGTCCGTAATTTAACAGTGTAAGACTAGAGGGAAGGCAGCTAGTCGTCACCACCCATCGCCAACTCATGGGCTACTCTTTTACCAACGAATAGTGAGATTGACCGTCACATTATAACGCCCCCACGGCTGAAAGGGCGAGCGTGTTTGGTGGGAGGGAGATTCGAACCCGCGACCCTCAGATTGCGAGTCGAGCGTCCTAACCACCTGGCCATGCCGGGCCATAAGTCTAAAGGCATACGACGATCAAATTTGGGTTTCAATACTCATGGAAGGCAGAGAACAGGTAATCCATTGTGTAGCTTTGTAGTCAAAAGCAACTAAACAGAAACACTAAACTATCAAGAAAATGACATGTTAATTAAACTTCGGTATCTACATAAATAAAAAAACTCCATATGGCATCAGAGATGATCAATATTTGAGTTACATAAGTCGAAGATTTGATTTAAATCGGTGTTTTCCTCGGTTTAAATATGGCTTGGTATGTTCAAGATTTGAATACAATGAACGATATACGTCACTACATACTTTCAGTAGAACATGATAAATCATTTAGTACTTGGTCACGTTCAAGCAATGCCTTTGAAACTTGGCGTTAGGACTAATCTGTCTCTGTGACAAAATTAATATATCTAATAATTACAACAAGGAGATAAGGTAACAAAGTAGGAACTAGCGTAATAACCCCATACCCTACTAATTAATAGTAAAACCTTGTTTTTATTTGTTTGTGAAAGACATTCGCTTCGAAATATAACTCCTGTATGTTCAACACGACACGACAGAGAACAACTCATAGCTAAGTTCCCAGAAAATTTTTATCTTATACTTCCTTATTTCTGTAACTTTTGAATATTGCTTTCAACAGCTGTTCGGTTGATAAAAGCATAATTCCAGACTTGGAAGAGAAATTCAATCAAAAAACGGGAATAAAGATGGTATACGCTACATTCATGGCCTTCAAGTTTCCTGATCGAGATAGTCTTCATCTTGAATGCAACGTTTTGATATGCAACGACTCTTGTCCCTTGGTGAGTGATTTTTATCATTGCTTTCTTGATCATTTAATTATTGTTTTAGTCCAATTAAGTCATGAATGTCCACTTATGTTTGTTGGTAATATATAATTTATTTCCAAAAGTATTTTAACAGTGGTTGAGTTGTTGGAAGATATATATACCTGTGATCAATATACAAAGAGCATGTGTTTCGTGAGGGACACCAATTAAACATTATCTTGAAACCCCGGGTCACTTCTATTAACTTCCATGGAACGATGTCCAAGATTTGCTGGTCGCCGCTCGTGCCTTGGTCTGGAGGACGGGCGTGTGATTACCAGGTTTCCTGAGCTGATTGGTTAGGCTATAAACTTGAAGCTTTTTTTTTTTGGTGAATTCAGTTCTTGTTTTTTTTCAATACAAGGTTCAGTATGTTATAAAAATAGTTTTAGTATGTAAATCAGCAGGTCACGGGATAACCACAAACGAATATATTCACAACCACATTTTGAACATTGTTTGGCCTTTCGTAGAAAGTGTTATATCATCGAAAATTTATCGCTTTTGGAAGAGTATGTAATAGCACCCTCCAGCGCAGAATATTCATATACTCAAATCATAAAAATGTGTTTAAATCGCGGATTAAGAATTTCCAAGACGAGGATATTCCCTGTACCTTACAGCATTGAAAAAGAAGGATCAATTTAGGAAGCAAGGACCATCCACAAACAGACCTGCAATAAGTCGAGACAAACAAAGTGCTGGTTATTGTAACAAGTGAGAACCCTAAATACAAAGGCCATAGGCAAAAGCCGTCTGCATGACTCAGATAACAGTATATAACATAATAAAGGTAAAGAGGTATGGGCTTACCAAAACGAGGTTTCTAATCATACTTCCCATTAAACCGTCGAATACTTCAAACAGCTGGAGAATTAACCTGGTATCCATGCTGTTCCATATCAATACACACCCGCCAAGTCGCCTGATACGGTGCCAATGGATTTCTGTGCAAATTGACTGTTGAAACGGGCGTTGGGAAATCGTCGTCCTCATACACTGGATCGATTATGAAAATTTGAAAAGAAACTTGTTGTACTCAGGACATGACAGCCTTATGGCAGTGCCTCTTCCAGTAAAAAAATACACTGTAGTACTTTTACCAAGATGTACTATCACTGAACAGAGCATGACTGGTTGTAGCGAAACAGACTATAATGTCGTGGTGATGTCCCAAAATTGTTTTAGTATAATATATTCAACTATGTGATTTGAATTTCGTGCAGAGCTACACGAGAGCTATTTGTGCTAGAGGGAAGGCAGCTAGTCACCACCATCCACCGCCAAGTTTTGGGCTACTCTTTTACTCACGAATAGTGGGATTGACCGCCATATTATAACACCCCCACGGCTGAAAAGGCGAGCATGTTTGGTGGAACGGGGATTCGAACCTGCGACCCGCAGATTACAAGTCGAGCGTCCTAACCACCAGGCCATGCCCAACCATGTGTACTTCTTGAATGAATCTCTTCGAAATAGGTCAAGCCATGTAGTTTTTCTCATCCAGAAGCCAGTCAATCAGTGTATGAATTCGTGTTACTTTTATTTTATAGGCTTCAATTATAACTCCAGTAGTTTTTTGGTTGTATTTGTTTATTTTATTCATTCATTTTAATTAAATTTACCATTTTTATTTTGCTGAGGTAAGTTTTAAATGCGTGATAAACACGCGTGTTTTTCTGTTGCACATTTGACTTCATTTATTTAACTAGTTTGGCCTGGCATGGCCTGGTGGTTAAGGCGCTCGACTCGTAATCTGAAGGTCGCGGGTTCGAATCCCCTTTACCAAACATGTTCGCCCTTTCAGCCAAAGGGGCATTATAATATAACAGTCTAAGACTTGGCGGTGGATGGTATTGACTAGCTGTCTTCCCTCTAGTCTATCACTGCTAAATTAGGGGCCGTTAGCGCAGATAGACTTCGAGTAGCTTTGGGCGGAATTCACACCAAACCAAACTCATATTATATATTACGTTTCTCTACACGCGCTTTCATTTGGACTGAACTTTCTTGATTTCCACCTTTAACATAATTAATCTTGTGATTTTGCGTGAAATTCAAAACAAACCCAGTCATGCAACTGTGTTGTGAAATGACACTGCACACGTGCTACAGAATTCATCACCTGCATGAGACTTTAATGAGAATTCAGGACTACAAACCACCTTCCATGTTGTTAGCAATAACTCCTGATGGTACCTTGTAGATCAGAAATTATGGTAAATAAAACATGTGGAGCAATGAATGCTGCTACTTATAAGTTGTTTCATCTAGATAATATGGGTTTGAAGACAACTCGAAGGATAATTTAAATATGAGTGCATGGTCCTAACCACGTTCACTGGTGGAATTCTATTGGGTAAAGATCATATGTCCTTCGCAATGATAATGGACCATGCCTTAGGCAAGCTGTATCCAACAGAGGTGCGAGTTTAAGAAGAAAAAAAAACTAAAATCTGCCTTTAACAGCCCAGAGTCTCGGTCTGAATCCAAATGAACAGCTCTAGAACACTGAAGGACATTACATGGACGAAAGATGGACACATCCGTAAGTTCTACTATACTTGGAGCTACTTTGCAAAAGGAGTGATTATCTATTACATGATATAAGTACCAATGGAGACCCAGATGCAGTGTAGCTAGAAAAAACAAAAGATGAGGAATAAATAGGACAGCATAAAGCCATCAGGTCACAGGTAACATAAGTAATGGTACTCTCTTCTACCTCCTGCGAGACAGCCAGTATCCACATGAAGGGTCAGCACCCGTCGGCACAAACCCCCTAGGATTGTCGCCTAGTACCCATTCGCTCACCCATAAGTAAAGCGCAATGTTACTAATTTCCAAGGTGTACCACCCCATTACTTCTAATGATAGTGTGAATTCCCGTATAACCTCATTAGTTCTGATAATGGTGGGTATTTCTGTATAGTCCCATTACTTCTGATGATGGTGTGTATTTGCATATGGCCCCATTACTTCTGATGATGGTGTGTATTTCTGTATAGTCCCATTAGGTATTTCTGTATAGTCCCATTACTTCTGATGATGGTGTGTATTTCTGTATAGTCCCATTACTTCTGATGATGGTGTGTATTTCTGTATAGTCCCATTACTTCTGATGATGGTGTGTATTTGCATATGGCCCCATTACTTCTGATGATGGTGTGTATTTTGGTATTATGGCCCCATTACTTCTGATAATGGTGTGTATTTCTGTATAGTCCCATTACTTCTGATGATGGTGTGTATTTGCATATGGCCCCATTACTTCTGATGATGGTGTGTATTTTGGTATTATGGCCCCATTACTTCTGATGATGGTGTGTATTTTGGTATTATGGCCCCATTACTTCTGATGATGGTGTGTATTTTGGTATTATAACCCCATTATTTCTATGATGGTGTGTATTTTGGTATTGCCCCATTAGTTCTGATGATGGTGTGCATTTGCGTATAGCCCCATTACTTCTGATGATGGTCTGAATTCCCGAAAAGCTCCATTTGTTCTGATAATGGTGTGTACTTTCGTATAGCCCCATTCCTTCTGATAATGGTGTGTACTTTCGTATAGCCCCATTCCTTCTGATAATGGTGTGTACCTTCGTATAGCCCCATTCCTTCTGATAATGGTGTGTACCTTCGTATAGCCCCATTACTTCTGATAACGATGTGAATCCTTGTATAGCCCCATTACTTTTGATAATGGTGTATACTTTCGTATAGCCCATTACTTCTGATAATGGTGTGTATCCGTATAGCCCATTACTTCTGATAATGGTGTGTATCCGTATAGACCCATTATATCTGATAATGGTGTATATATTTCAGCATGTCAGTACAAGATCACTAAAATACATTTCTTAACACGAGAGCCATAAAACTTGCTTTTTTTCTTCATTTTGCAACTTTTAATTGAGCCTGCATAAAGTCTTACTATACCTCTCGTTTTCATTAAATTTTACTTTCAGGTGGTTTGAATACTGGTTTATAACGTTATAGTACATTTCTTTCATAGTTTTTATGCAAATGTAACGCATGTTTTTGTGTTGTTACTTGCAGATCAACATTTTTAAAACGGATATTATCGTTCGTAACTAATAGCCATTTTAGAATTTATGTTACAAACTGGAAACCAACTCCTATTAAGTTAGTGTATTATTCCTCATTGACTACAGTTCCCATGTACGACCCGGACTGGACCAAAGCGAGCAGAGCGATCAGCTAGTGGTCAAGTATTCCATTCTTTCCCTGGAGAGGTTGTATTCAATTCTGTCGAAGTTAAAGCTCCAGCTGTCGAGATTGGAACGTCCCTTAAACAGCAGTCTCCCGAACCTGGTAATTATGTTTTTTTTATTACTTTTAACAGTATGCAAAACGAAAAAAAAAGTCAAATTCGAAAGAAAATAACAATAAATAAATCAATAAGTATATATATATATATATATATATATACTGAAGTGATATGTATTGATGTATAATAAAACGCAAGCATATTTTTAATGGGTCTAACAATAGTTATTCAGAAATGGTTTGCTTTTGTTGTAATGAAAATCATAGAAATATTAATTACTTTATACATGGTTGTCTATAGTCTGCTCGTGTTCGTTATTTATATAAACTTATGAAATGCATGTCAAACCACCTAAAAATTGTCAGTGAAAGCTTTACGAAAAAAGAACACTAAATATCCAAACATGTCTTTTAACAGATGGCGCTGGTCTCATGCACAATAAAAAAAATTAAATTCTAGCGCTTTTAAGGGTTATGAACTGGGGAATAAATTTAACTTATAAAATGTAAATAATTCACAGTTGTTACCTTTTGCAAAAGTGCTATAATATAAGTTATGTTCAATGCTTTGAAATAGCAGGGACGTAACATGAGTCGTAATTTCTTTTTTAATCTTTAGAGGGGAACAAGTCCCCCCAATTCCCTGTTAGTGCCCATCTCTTAGTGGATACTGTAATATGAGTGCTTGGGACTTTGGCTTGCTAAAATCAGTTAAAATCCTATAATTTAGTCTACATGATGTGCCCCCCCCCAGTGGATCAGCGGTAAGTTTACGGACTTAAAACTAACAAATCCGGGGCTCCATTTCCCGTGCTGAAATTAGTGCAGATACAGTGCCTTACAAAAGTAATCACCCCTACCAATAATGTCACAGTTTGATGAAATACTGTTATGTGTGAAGGAGGTTGAATCTCATCAAAACCCGCAAAGAAAATATATAAATTGTTGATTTGCATAAGTATTCAGCTCCCTAAGTCAGTACTTGGTGGAAGCACCCTTGGCAGCAATTACTCCTGTGAGTCTTTTTGGATAGGTCACTACCAGCTTTGGGCAATGGGGTTGTGTAATTTTTGCCCATTCTTCCTGGCAAAGTTGCTTCAACTCTGACAAGTTCGTTGGCGATCGTTGATGGACTTCAATCTTCAAGTCAGGCCATAAATTTTCCATTGGATTCAAAGTCGGGACTTTGACTGGGCCATTCTGGGACATTCACTTTCTTCTTTTGAAACCACTCCAGTGTGGCTTTGGCCTTGTTTTTTTGGGTCATTGTCCTGCTTAAATGTGAATGTTTGACCCAGTTTTAGATTCTTGGTTGACTCAAGCAGGTTTTCCTTTAGGATTCGCCCGTACTTTGTACCATCCATCTCCCCTCAATCCTGATGAACTTTCCAGTCCTTGCTGATGAGAAGCCTACCCATAACACTATGCTGCCACCACCATGCTTAACAGTTGGAATGGTCTTGACTGGACGATGTGCTGTGTTGGGCTTGGGCTAGATGTAATGCTTTGAATTTAGATCAGAAAGCTCAATTTTTGTCTCTTCTGACAACAGAACCTTCTGCCAAATGTCTGCAGTATCATTTACTTGCTTTGTCGCAGACTCCATACGAGATTAAATATGATTCTTTTCCAATAATGGCATATTTCTTGCCACTAACCCACATAGGCCAGCTTTGTGTAGGGACTGGGGTATTGTCGATATGTGAACACAGACTCCCATCTCAGATATGAAACTTTGCAAATCTTCCAAAGTTACTGTTAGCATCACAGTGGCACCCCTAACCAGTTTCCTACTTGCCTGGCTGCTTTGTTTGGAAGGGTGGTCTGATGATCTGGGTAGTGTGAAGCACATTCTACTTCTTAATGATGGACTTCACCATACTCAAAGGGATAATCAGGAACTTTGAAATTTTCTTGTAACCTTCTTCTGATCTGTGCTTCTCTACCACTTTATTCCTGACTTGTTTGGAAAGCTCTCTGGTCTTCATGGCTGGTTTATCGTATCACTATGTGAGTTGTGACTTGAACAGATGCATTTACTCTAAAATCCAGTTAAATCACTTTGATTACACACAGAAAGAGACCTTCACACTAATTTTGTGACCTTCCAAACTAATCTTTTGCACCTGAACTGATTTAAGGTTGCCATAGCAAAGGGTTA